TCTAAATCGGTATGCAGATTTTTTGATTTTTTTCATTGATCCGACTTATTTTCAATTGTTTTTGATGGAAATTCTCAACAGATTTACGCGATTTTTCTTCTTCTTATAAAAATTCTGTGTTTCTCGAAACAATTTTCCCGTAGCAAATTATATACTTCACTTTAATCTTGAATTCTCTGTTCGGTTTACTTTCCATTGTATAGTACCGATTCTGTTGAATGATGCCCATTTGTTTCTCAACCAAAACTAAAAAAGTTAAGTTAAGTTAAAGGAGTAGGTGTTTCTTTTGATAAGTACTAGTGTTACTGTTTCTAAGTGGCGATGTGTTTGAGTTAGACTAGTGGTCATAGCTAACTGTTGAAGTTGGTAAAAAAAAACAGAGGAAAAATCGATATATGTATGTGTAACAAAGAACCTTTTTGGCATGTATGAAAATATGTTCTTGAGTACTTTACTTTCTTTCTCTCAAATCTCTTCAAGTCAAACAAAAGGATGTTAATAACAACAATCTCAATAAGATCAACATGGTATCAGAGCTCATCTTGATCCATGGAGCCTCGTCAAGAAAAAGGGAAGCTGTGAACCAAGAAGGTTCAGAAATAAGAAAGATGGTGGTTAGAAAAATCAAACAAGAGAAGGAAGGCTGCTTACCAGGTGGAAGGAAGCAGAAATTGGTTGAAGAAACAACCAAAGAAGACGTGAAGGAACTTCACGCAAAAGAAGAAAGAGATATGAAGAAGGCTGGAGAGAAAGAGGGAGCAGAACACAGGATTACTGCAAACCAAGATGATGAGAAATCAAACAACAAAAGCATGTGGCTTATCGATAGTGGATGCACAAACCACATGACTCTTGATGAGAAGATATTTGTCAAGATCAACACAAGTATAAATGTTCCAATAAAAGTTGGGATGGAGCTGTGCTAATCTCTAAAGGAAAAGGAGATGTGGAAGTAAACACAAAGAGAGGCAAAAGAATCATAAGAGATGTCTTTCTAGTTCCCAAACTTGGCAAAAACCTGTTGAGTGTTCCACAAATGATTACAAACGGGTATAAGGTAATCTTTCAAAAGAAAAGTTGTATCATCTACGATCAATCTGGAAGAAGCATAGGAGAAGTCCAGATGAAGAATAAAAGTTTCCACATCAATTGGTCATCAGGCAAAGAATCTACCATGGTGGCTAAAGAAGACATTGCAAAACTATGGCACAAAAGGCTGGGACACACGGGAAACACAAACTTAGAAATAATGCAGTCAAAGGAGATGGTAGTTAGCTTACCCAAGTTCAAGACAAATCAAGAAAAGTGTGAGAGTTGTATCATCAGCAAGCACTGCAGAGATTCCTTTCCAAAAGAAGCAGAAAACAGAGCAAAAGAGAGACTTGAGCTCATTCACAGCGATGTGTGTGGACCAATGCAAAACAAGTCATTCAGTGGAAGCAGGTACTTACTCACCTTCATCGATGATGCCACAAGAATGGTGTGGGTTTATTTCCTGAAAACTAAATCAGAGGTGTTCCCAACCTTCAAGAAGTTTAAAAATCTTGTTGAAACCAAGTTAACCTCAAGATCAAGAAGATCAGAAGCGATAGAGGAACAGAATACTTATCTGGAGATTTCACAAGATTCTTAGAAGATAATGGCATTGAAAGACAACTAACCGCAGCGTATTCTCCACAGCAAAATGGAGTTTCAGAAAGAAGAAATCGAAGCTTGGTGGAAATGGCAAGAGCAATGATCAAATCCAAGGATCTACCTCTAATTTTTTGGGCTGAAGCTGTTTACTCAGCAGCGTATATGCAAAACAGAACTCCAACCAGAGCTCTTGAAAGCAAAACCCCATTTGAAGCTTGGTATGGATCAAAACCCTTAGTAAGCCGCCACATGAAGATATTCAGGTGTGTGTGCTATGTTCACATTCCATATGAAAAGAGAAGAAAGTGGGATGACAAGTCAAAGAAGGGGATATTCCTTGGGTACAGCTCACAAATAAAAGGATACAGAGTGTATCTACTGAAAGAAGACAAGATAGACATATCCCGAGATGTCATTTTTGAAGAAAATAGTAAATGGGACTGGAAAAGAAAGGAAGTGATCAAACAGGTTGACATCACACTTGAATCTGATGTCACAAATGAAAGCTCAACAGGAGATGACTCAAGCTCAAGCAGTGAAGAACTTACATAAACAAGAGATATTCGATCACCTGTCTCAAGCTCGGTTAACTATAGTTCTGGTGGAAGTTCAAGTCAACCAAACAGAAAGACTCGGTCTCTTGAAGATATTCTTCTTACAGCACCATATACGAATATTGAGTATTCGGGAGTAATGGAAGAGTGCTATACAAATTCAAGAACCAAGTCTATTTGAAAAGGCTGCTAAACACTCTGAATGGAGAGAAGCAATGGAGGAAGAGATACAGATGATCGTGAAAAACCAAACTTGGGAGCTAGTGGAAAGACCTGAAACCAAAAATGTGGTAGGAGTGAAATGGATATACCGGCTGAAACAAGATGCAAAAGGAAACACTGTAAGACACAAGGCTAGACTGGTTGCAAGGGGATTCACTCAACAATATGGGGTTAATTATCTAGAAACGTTTGCGCCTGTCTCTAGACATGAAACAATTTGAGTATTTCTTGTTGTGGCTGCTTAGAGAAAATGGAAGTTGTTTCAGTTAGATGTTAAGTCGGCATTCTTGAATGGAAAGCTTGAAGAAGAGATATATGTAGAACAACCTATGGGATTTGAGGAGGAAGGAAAAGAGGATCATGTTTTTCGGCTGCATAAAGCTCTCTATGGTTTAAAGCAGGCTCCAAGAGCCTGGTATAGCCAAATAGATGAGTTCTTCTTGAGAGAGAACTTCAAAAGGAGTAAAAACGATCATGCTTTGTATACTAAAAATGATCATGGGAAGCTTTTTGTAGTTTTTATATATGTGGATGACCTCATTGTTACAGGCGACGATGAGAAGATGATAGAAGACTTCAAGACAACCATGAAAAATGAGTTTGAGATGTCAGATTTGGAGTTATTGAACTACTTTCTAGGAATGAAGATAAACCAACAAGAAAGAAGGAATCTCTCTGTCTCAAGAATGTTACTCAAAGAAGCTGCTTGAAAGGTTCAACATGAAAGACTGCACTAGCATGAAAACTCTACTAGTACCTCAAGGCAAAACCCAAAACGAAGAAGAAGAAGAGTTTGCTGAGGCTGGAGTCTACAAAAGTCTTGTGGGAGGTCTTCTTTACTTGACAGCCACTCGACCTGACCTCATGTTCTCAGCATCTTACCTGTCACGGTATTTGAAGGAACCTAAGGTCAGACACTTCAAGGAGGCAAAACGAGTACTTAGATATATTCAAGGAACTCTAAGCTTTGGATTGATGTTCACTGCGGTTGATGAGCCAAGATTAATTGGGTATTCAAATAGCGATTGGGGAGGATGTAGAGAGGATCTTAAATCAACTACAGGGTATTGTTTCAACATTGGGTCTGCAATTTTTTCGCGGCAAACAAGTAATCAAGACACCATTGCTTAGACCACTGCAGAAGCAGAGTATATGGCTTTATGTGCAACAACAAATCAAGCAGCTTGGTTAAGAAGACTTCTTGATGATCTGAATTTCATAACCAATGAAGGAATACCTATCTACTGTGACAGTCAGTCTGCTATAGCGATAGGGAAAAATCCTATTCAATACCGGAGGACTAAGCATGTTCAAATCAAGTATCATGTAGTGAGAGAAGCAGAGAAGAATGGAGATATTCAATTAAGGTTCTGCAATGGAGAAGATCAAATCGCCGATATATTAACTAAACCCTTGGGAAGTCAGAGCTATGAGTACTTTCGATTTAAGCTTGGTTTGATTGACAAAAGGGCAAGAAGGAGTGTTGAATGATGCCCATTTGTTTCTCAAACCAAACTAGGAAAGTTAAGTTAAGTTAACTAGGGAGTAGGTGTTTCTTTTGATAAATAGGTTTACTTAAGTACTAGTGTTACTGTTTCTAAGTGGCGATGTGTTTGAGCTAGACTAGTGGTCATAGCTAACTGTTGAAGTTGGTAAAAAGAAAACATAGGAAAGATCTATATATGTATGTGTAACAAAGAACCTTTTTGGCATGTATGAAAATATGTTCTTGAATACTTTACTTTCTTTCTCTCAAATCTCTTCAAGTCAAACAAAAGGATGTTAATAACAACAATCTCAATAAGATCAACAGATTCTCGTGGTTTCTGATTACCAAACACTCATTATTTAATTATGCTGATTTGTTCCAAGGCTTTGATGCTTTAAGTGAAAAATGGAACATTTCTTGTGAGTAAACGACTTTTTTCAAAATCCTGCTAAAGTATATTTATGGTGTTTTATAAAATTGTAGCTTTATACTTTTCTGTCACCTGGTACAAGATCAAATGTTGTTGAATCTCTCTGGGTATTGTGTTAGCTTCTTCACCGTTACCACTTCTTTGTAATACTCTCCGAAGATAAGAGATTCTGTATACTAGAAAGAGTTTACCAAGTAAGAAAATCTTGAAATAGAGAGGAGACTGGCTGGAGGCAAACATCTTGATCTGCATATGCAAAATAGCTTCATATCCTTGAAAAGTTTACATTGGGCAAAAGAGTAGATGCGGAGAATCAGTACTTTCCAATGATGAGAGAAAGTGGAAGAAGGAGAAGCGTTGACACAACATAAGAGTAGAAGACAAAGACATAAAAGCTCAATCCTTTTAAAGTTCAGAGGAACTCCAGAATCGCACCTATGTACAGTCGTTACGCGACGGTGAAACGGAGTCAGAAGCTCACGAGGGGGACCTCGCCGTCGCATCTCCGGCGACTTCCCGTTTGATGCTTTCTGGGTAGACGATGACCGTCAAAAGAATTGATCCAACGGGTAGCTTTTTTCCAGACGCTCGTTAACAGTTCTAAACCGTTGATTTGATCCAACGATTAAGATTTTGATTCGACCACTGACACTAGGGCGGAACCGAACCGAACCAAACAAAATATATTGGTTTTATTAGTTGGAAAACTAAAAATGTTAATTCCAATCCGAACCAACACAAAAAAGTTTAACCAAACCGGAGTCATTGATACGCTCTTCAATAATTTGAACCACACATTTACAAATGAGTTAACACTTAACATAGAGAGATTCACACTTGCATCAGTCCTATCTTAATGACAAGACTTCATTTTCGACAATGTGTGTAAGCAGCAAAGGTGCATGCTCAGAACCAGCAACACTTTTGGTTGCATCTTCTCTTGCTTTTCCCCAAATCACAGTGTAGAATCCAAAGCACAAGATCACTGATCCAATCACACTGCCCATAACACAAAATTGTGAAACATATCGGTTAATTATCAAGGTCTCGAAAGACATATTGCAGTCTCCAACCGTGATCTAGGAATTTTAACAACCTAGAACTGAGTTCTATGTTTCTCAATATAGATAAAAATCTTCTGAATGGGGTAGTAAATGAAGAAGATGAAAGATATGGTACCTCCCAAGGTGAAGTGCATCCCCGAGGAATATAGCACCCATGGCGACTGCAATTGCGATAGACAATGGCCTAAACAAGGATATGTAGACCGGACCCTTTAGATGCAGACCCCATGTGTGAGTAAGAGCGCTGAATAATGAAACAAAGACTCCCTGAAACAAAGTGTTAATTTCTGAGCTTGAAACATTGTCAGCAATGGAAGGCAGATAATAAGATTTTGATTCTCACCGAGTATATGATTGCAGCGAGGGAAATATCTGGTTTAAGCACCCAAGAAGTCAAATTGCTTTCCGCTAATAAACACACTGGTGCTGAGATTAGCGTTGCAAATAAGTTGTAGAAGAAGACTACGGTTATTTCTTCAGGGTATACCTCCATGACCCGAGTCTGAAAAATACAGCTACCAATTCAGCAAGTGTAAACAACAACAAAAAGTTCTTTTTTCTTAACTTTTCAAGTGTCTATACCTGAAGAATATACCAGACTGATAGAAGAAAATACTGTGAAGCAAGCAAAAGGCCTCCGATTATCCAGCTTGACTCGAATGAAGTCAAATTCTGTTGAAGGAATATAATAGGTGATGAAGGTATAAATGATGCAGCAGCGAGAACTTTTGGGCCTTTATATAGCACAACGACCAGAGCACCAGAAATAGATAGTATTGCGCCAATGATTTTGGCCTGAGTCGCAGAGCTCCTTAACAATATTTGTTCCATCCTTTACGATTCACACAAGAAAGCAGAACCAGTTAAGAGTTAAATAATCGGTAATAAGATTGATAGTAACAAGCAGACCTCATATCCACCTAACTCATCTCAGGAAACAATAAGGATGCAACATTTTTATAGCCAACCCAAGAATGTACTTGTGACCACTAATACAAAAACTTCATAACTTTACTTTCTAATTCAAAGTAAATAACATGAGAAGTGTTCTCAGAAAGTACTATTGTATAGACCTATTTTCCCGAAATAGAAACCAAAGAGAACGAGTTGGAACCTGAAGATAACGGCGAGGGTGAATGTGAAAGCTGGTGTGAGATTGCTGATAGCAGAGGCGAGAGTAGGAGAACTATACTCTATACCTTTACAACCAACTATCTGCGATGTGAACCTGTTCATTCCAAGTTAACAAACAGGAAAACAAAAACCGGAGATGTCCATTAACCTAGAAGCATGAGTGTATTATTACTACCCGAGAAGCCCAAGTAAGGAAATCTTGAAGAATAGAGGAGACTTGGCTGAAGGCAATCTTCTTGACCTGTATATGCAGAAACTAGTTCATATTCTTGAAAAGCTTATACTGGGCCAAAGAGTAGTAGATAAGCGTGTAAGTACCTTCCAAACATGAAGGAAAGTGGAAGAAGGAGAAGTGTTGAAACAACATAAGAGTAAAAGACAAAGACATAGAAGCTTAATCCTCGTAAAGTTGCAGCCTTGTACAGTGTGTTTGACCCAACCGTAGTACACTCCACTGCAAACATCGCAGCAAACGGCACAACATCTCTGCTAAAGTACCTCCAAGCCACTGTCTCTTCTCCAGCTCCTCCCATGTCTGATTAGATATCAGAAAACTATCTGAGATTCAAGTGAGCTTAGAAGCAATCATACTCCTGGTGGTTAACTCCACCACGCTTGCTAATATTGTCATTATTTTATTTAGAAACCGAAGATATTTTCAGAGAAGACAATATGGAAATAGTAGGACCAAATACTTCACACCACAAGACTCATATTCAAATTTACTTGGGACCCATGACAACGAAGTTTGGCCATTATAGCTCTAATAATACCTTTGAGCTCTCAAGCATTCAACTGAAGAAATTTCCCAACTTTCATTTGAACACCCTTCTTCATTGATTAAGACTCATATCTTTGCTATGGTGTTGTATCAACGATCACAACAATCCATCAGTGATTACAAGGAACCTTCATCTTCAGAAGGGATATTTGATCGATTTGTTGGATCTCCTCTTCACCTTCCAGAGAAACTTGACCCCAATATCTGCAACCTCCATCGATAGTGATCTCCACGGAAATTAGAACTAACGCTTCAGGAGCATCGATTACTTAGGCGAAATCCAAGACCAATGTCATCATCGAACAAACCCTGATTTTATTAGATTTTGATCCGACGGTTCGTATGTGGAAAAAACTAAACCGAATTCAACCAAAACATTGTCCGAGAATTGTCTATAAACCAATTGGTTTTATTAATTGATAAACCCAAAATAATTGAGCTGAATCCGAATTGAAACGAATTTTTAGTGTATTCGAACCAAACCAAATCGAGTAAAAAGAAACCAAATTTTCCATTAAACTGATGAACCGGACTGTTCACTATTATTAGATCCAACGGTTAGATTTTGATGAGAGAATTGGGCTGACCGGTCCGGCCCAGTACGGATCCATATAAGACCAAAAACATAGATAACCGTCATTTTTTTGTCTTTGGAGTTGACCATCTGACATCAACTCGTTCATCTATGCACGTGGGCCCAAATCTAAAAGCTTTAATTTTAATTTTATTTGTTTTTTACTTTCATTTTCAAAGCTTTTACTTTACTTCCATTGTTGTTGTTGTTTTCCAACTTTGCCTCGCACTTCGAAAAATTACAAAATCACTTGCCATTTTCTTCGGGTTTTCTATTTCCACCATTAAAAGCTCAAGAAAAGGAAAGGTTAAGAGATAAATAGGTTGAAAGAGAAAGAGGAGAGAGAGAGGGTGGCTTTACTCTCTTCTTCCTCTGCAAATCTGACAGAGAAGAAAGAAAAAAAACCTTCTTTGATTAGGGTTTTACTTCACGGGGAGTTAACTTTTTTTTTTTGTCTGAAAATCTGGGGGGCTTTTAGGTGAGTGTTTGCGTATCTCTGTTTCTCTCGATGTTGATGATGTTACTGAAATCGGAAGAATTTTTATCGAACTCTTCTTCCTCCACTTAACTTGGAGTTTTTGTTGCTGTTTTCACTCTGTTTTCTGGATCTTGAAATTGAGATCTTTAAGCTCTTTTCATGGTCTAAGTGACCTAAATCTACGAAGATGTCTTGGGTTCGATTCGCAATTGAGCAAAAAGACGGTAGCTTTGCTTACCCACCACCGTTATACAAAGACCCAATTCTTTCTCCGCCGTCTCCGCCACCGTCCGGTAACAGAATCAGCCCGGCGGTTCTATTTGTAATTGTGATTCTAGCTGTGTTGTTCTTCATCTCTGGGCTTCTTCATTTGCTCGTTAGGTTTCTCGTCAAGCATCCTTCTTCTGCTGCTGCTGGTGCTTCTTCTTCAAGGTCTAATAGATACCCAGAGATCTCAACTAGTGATGCTCTTCAAAGACAGCTTCAACAGCTGTTTCATCTGAACGATTCTGGTCTCGATCAAGCTTTCATCGACGCTTTGCCTGTTTTCCACTACAAAGAGATGGTAGGTGCTTCTAAAGAGCCGTTCGATTGCGCGGTTTGTCTCTGTGAGTTCACTGAGAAAGATAAGCTGAGATTGTTGCCAACGTGTAGCCATGCTTTTCATTTGAACTGTATAGATACTTGGCTCCAGTCAAATTCGACTTGCCCTCTTTGTCGAAGCACTCTCTTCTCCCCTGGTTTCTCCATGGAGAATCCCATGTTTGATTTCGACGACGCAAGAGAAGATGAAGAGTGTGTAGCCGAGAATGGAAGCCAGAAAACTATGGAGATCCAAGAAATCGTTGTGGAGAAGGGAGTTTTACCTGTGAGATTAGGGAAATTCAAGAGGCTTGACAATGTTGGTCAAGATCATGATGATGTTTCTGTTGCTGGAGGAGAGACTAGTAGTAGTAATTTGGATGCAAGGAGATGTTTCTCAATGGGTTCGTATCAGTATATACTTGGTAACTCGGAGCTTAAAGTCCCGTTTTGTAACGATAGGCCACCACGAGGTTTGAAACCTCAGGACAAAGAATCTGAGCAGAGAGGGAACTCTTCATCTTCAGAAGAGAAGAAGATCAATAGTGTGGCTAAAGGAGAGAGCTTTTCGGTTTCTAAGATCTGGTTATGGCCAAAGAAAGATAAATTCTCTTCAGATGCTCAAAGGAGGTTGCCTTCTTCATCGCTTAACGTCGATGATCTTCCTAAACTTCCATGGATGGAAGATCATAAGAAGCTGGAAAACGACCAAAGGTAGTAATCTTGTACTCGTTTAATGAATTAAAATGAATCAATATTTAGGGTTTACTGATTATATTTTGGGGATCATCTGTTGTACCATATTGTTAAAAGGTTTATCAAAACTCCGATTGCGTTTTGGTTGTTAATCAATCTGAGATCAAAATTAATTACGCATGCTCAACAATAATGGATGCCAAAAGACTGATGCTTTAGCTTTATTTTTATTATCTTTGCCTCTTTTTTCTTCACTTTAGAGTCACTGGTTCTCTTTACTTTCCTCTTTTCAATATACTTTCCTTTACTCTCTCAACAAATTCACTATTAACTTTTTGAATATACATATCTTTGTATACATGCTGGTTGTTGATGATTATCAATCAATGGATAACATATGATTTTGAAGTGTTCTTGATTAGTTCTTGGAATTTAGGTGATATGCACTCAAGTATGGGCAGAAAACAAACTAGGACGTTTGACTTGTGTTCACACACAATCTAGTCTTTGGTTTAGCGTAAGAGTCAGTGGTTGAGAGTTTTTTGGTTCTTTGTGTTAACCAAAACAAAACTGAAATCTTGCATAAACCAATTACCTTTTAAGACTCTATTTTCAAAAGTCTTTGGCTCTAATGGTTTATGTTGGTTGTTGTAGGGTCAATATGTTCTTTGACTCTTTCTTGAAAACCATCACCCAATTGATTTTGATTGATTGCACATAATTAAATAAAGATAATTCAAAAGAAAAAAAAAATGAACAACTCTGATGGTTCCATATAATATAATAGATAATTTACATTCTTATTTCGCATATGTTAACAGTATGTTCTCTATTTGACTATCCAAGCTTTGTCCATGCTTAGAACAGAAGCTTTGAATACTTATTTGTCTTTTTTACTTAAGATTCGATGGCCAAACCCACCAGCTGAATGATTGATCGATGTTGGTGAGGTAATCTTCATTTGCTAATGGAATCAAAGATGTGGAAGAGCTCATAGTTTCATCACTTTTAGAGCTAATCTTGTCTTGGAAATTTCTTTGGGTTTGGTTAGTTGCAGGAAGAAGCATCTGAGTCAAATTTAAGACCTGAACAGAAAATCTCTTAGAAAACTGAGCTCAATTTCTCTGTCTATAAGAAGACATAAAGATTGAAGCTTTTTACTTACTTTAGATTTGAGTTTCTCATTCTCTGAGATGACTGTTTCGTGTTTTGCAAGGAGTGAATCGTAACAAGCCTTGAGAATATCGTAATCTCTTTCGGTTTGCTTAATCTTGCATCGAGCTTTTCGATTCTGAAACCAAACAGCTACTTGTCGTTGAGGCAATCCAAGCTTTCTCGCTAGCTCAATCTTTCTCTCTGGTTCTAATTTGTTTTCTTCTCCAAAGCTCTTCTCCAAAAGATTCACCTAAACCAGAAAACAAACCAAAATATAATTCGAAACCCTAAACAGTTAAGATCATTTCGATTCTGTCTCTGTTTTGTATACTAACTTGTTCGGTCGTTAGTCGACGCTTTTTCCCAGTCGTCGTTCGAGTTTCTTGCATTTCCATGGCCGATTTTGTTCCTGATTTTAGCAACAAAGTAACTAAATTAGCCAATTTCACTTGGATTTATCGAAATTTTGGAAGAAGAAACAGAGATTATCACCTTGAAAAAACAGAACGAGATTCTCAAGGGAAAGAGTTTCTTTGTGGGAAGCTTCTCGATCGTAATTGGAATCAATGGAGATGATTTCGGCAAAGAAGAAATTAAAACTTAAAATTCGAAATTGAAAATTAAAAGATTCGTTAGAAAATCATGAGTTTGTGGCGGAAGAAACTTGTCGTCCACAATAGTCTCGCCGGAGTTACTAACGAACAGAGACAAAATCCCATCCTTTTGAAAATCAGATCAACAAACACGAACTCAAGAACCCAAAAAAAAAAAAAAACAACGATCAAATCAAAGTGAATTTAATATAAAGACTTTTCGCAGAATCTTCATCTGGCCAAAAAAAAGGGAACAACAGATTTTTTTTTTGTTGTTTTTCTTGATTAATTCTTCTCTTCCTGAGATTTGTGTAAATCTTTCGCGGGTAAAGTTTAAGAACAAGAGCGGGTATGCTATTTATAGGTGTTTCCAAAGGCGACTCGAAATTACATTTTTACCCTTGACGCGGTTTGAGCTTTGAAGAATAAACGAATAATAGAGAAGAAAGTGAAGTGAACAAAAAAAAATGAAAAAAAAGGAGAAAAATTAATTAGAACTTCGACGAAACGGAATTTGGCTTTTCGAATAAGAAAAGAATATTAATATGTACGTAGTCTAGCATATATTCATTCTTATCGCTTTTAATAATTACATTAGTTATTTTAAAAATGATATTAATTAATAATAACAATATTCTCGGCCAAAAAAATACATTAAAACAAAATGAGTTTTAAAAAAAAAAAAATTGGAAAAACCAAGAAGAATTCTTTTAAGAACTAGAAAAAGGCCGAAAACTATTTCTAAAAAGAAATTGAATATGTAAAAACAGTTCATTATCAAAAATGAAAACAATTTCAAAATCCACAAATATACATTACCAAAACCGTTTTATTTTGTTTCACCCTAATAAAGGTCATGTGGTTTCAAAGTGTCTAACTTCCTCTCACATTTTTTCATCTTAAACTTAACAGCAGATTTAAGAAGGATCCCATCAGATTCAACTTCTTCAACCTCACAAAGAATTAAAAAGTCAAGGGTACAAGGACAGTTAACACTGAGATTGAATATGTATCTCGACTTTGTTTAAAATACGTTTAGATTGTGTTTTGAACTGTTTTTAAATTTGGAACTGATGTATTTATTGCAATTTTCCTATTTGATATTTAAATTGACAATAATCAAATAATATATTACTTTAGATGATGATTTAGATTAAGATTTTTTTTCTTCTTTTGTGTGTAGTATTTGCTGCTTCAAACTTAGCGCAAGTGATGAAATCCTTCGACACTTTCATGTCATACTTGTGGAAGAATTTTATTTCCACGGAATCTTGATCTTTCAACGCCATCTCATACAAAAATCATTTTCACATAAATTTGCAATTGCTCCAGCAATTATCAGAAATGTTCATATTAGAATTTTGTAGTCTAATTGCTTTCAAGATTTTCAGTCTCTCTAAAATTGTTAAGATTGAACATGTACTTCAACTTTGTTTAAAATACTTTTATATTGGGTTTAAGGTTTTATTAAGCTTAGATTTGAAGTTTTATGGTGATTTTTTTTCCACACTTGATATCTGAATTGCACAGTAATAGCACAATTGCTTTAGACGATGATTTAGATTGTAATAGTTTTGAGGCTAGCACGAAATTCTTTTTCAGATTTATATATTTTGAGCTAATGGGAAGAAAATGAACATTGATTTAGTGGTTTAGCTGAAATGACACGTGATTTACTCAATTACCAAAGTAGTTTCAGAATCAGCATTTAGTATTGGAGTTCGGTTTTTGACTCCATATAGAAATCACTTACTTCCCAAGAATGTGCAAGGTTTACTCTGTACTCACAATTAGCTATGCAATTTTGCAGAATATGAAGGTAAAACTTTAAGATTTACAAAAACAATTTTATAGTTATATGATTTTCTTAACTAATTAACATTTTGAAACAGCATTATTGATGAAACAGCAAGTAGCTTAAGAGTTGAAGGATCAAGAGCAAAAGATTCAAACATGCCATAAAAACAAAGATATTTCTAAAAAAAATATTTATGTGTGTGAAAGTTGTTTATAAATTCTCTTAGTTTAAGAGTTAAGTATTATTTCTGCAGTGTAGGCTGAATAAAAAGATCAAGTTTAAGTCAAAGATAACTTTTACTTATATTTATTTTATAATTTTTTGTTTGCTAAAAGTAAAACAAAACTTTGATGTTATAATTTTGTATTAGATTTTGCTATTAATTACTTATGAAACATGTTGGATTTTTTGTTTATGATATAAGTTTTTTCAGAATTTTCAAAAAGGTATTTTATTTTCTTTAAGATATTATATTTTTTTATAAATATGTAAAAAACGTAATATGTATTTTAATTTTATAATATACATAGTATATTACAATAATTCAAATGTCATATAACTAAAAAATAAAAAATAAAATATGAGTTTAAAAAGGTTAACTAACCCCTGCGGCTCTGCGGGCTTTAAAATAAATGGGCTTAAACGAATACAAATATAAATGGATTTAGTACGAAGGTTTAAACAGGCATGCTTTAAAATGAACAGGGTTTAAACAGGTTCGGGTAGCCTGTAAAACCCCACTAGTCCAGCAACGTTGTTGTGTGCTTCTCAATTAGTAGTCTATCCACTCTACTACAAATCTAGAAATATATATTTCTTGCTTTCGTAAGTCTTGTCTCTTTCTCTCATCAATTAATAATAGAGTAATTGCACAATCTACCAACAGAAAGTTTGGAAATTAAGCCATAGAAAATTGGTACTGTCCTATCATTCTGTTCACAATAGAAAGACAATTGAATCCCTATAATGAGTTTTTCGAATTCGCTGTTAGAATATGTTAAAGAAATAGATGGGTCTCTCAGTCAAGTTGTGTGTGTGTCAGTAGATCCGACAACAATATCTAAGTTTTTTGAAAAAGATTATTTAATTATTTTAGGGAGAGGAAAAAAAGAACAAAGATTAAGGTTTCTGACAAAAACCACCATTTGATATCAGTTATCTCTACAACTCAAAAGAGTTTCCAAATTTCGTTTTCGACGGCGAGCGACAATCTGGTGCATGATATCATTATTTTTTTTGAAGAAATCCGAAGTTTCTATTCGCAAACAAGGTAAATATGAGTTCTGTTTTCAATTTTCCGAGTTATCTGTTCTAGGTTAGTAGCATCTGATTTAAGGTAGCTAGTGTCACATATATGCAGATGTCTGATAATGAGTTACCCAAGAGGATAATAGCCACTGGAGCTGAACCTTTGGGCTAGAGGGTTATTACATATCAGAAATTCAGCATTATACAAGCATCGTTCATGGTTTAGCCGCTCCAAGCATCGTTCATGGTTTAGGCTAACTATATATATTTGTTAACATAGTTAACACTTACCCATTAGTGTCCCGTCTTCGCAGTTGGCAGTCGTACCATCCCCGGTCTCCACGTACCCAGCATTTGTAGAGTAGCATTCGCCATTATCCGGCTAACAAAGTTATCTGGACATAATGTTATTTGAACATACTTCATTCTTCATTCGATCGTTGTTTATTTCCCAACATATATTAATATTTACTTGAACTTATCTGCAGTGTTTAGCCAGTTAACTTTGGAGTTGCCTCTAAATCAGAGTTATCTGTCAACACATCCGCTAATTTAGTTACACCGATAATAAGATAATAGTTGATAACTTTAAAAGTAAACTGGATCTCACCCTTCCTTTGGTTATTTCGCTTGTTGCCAGTTAAATTGGCTGATGCTATTAGGTTACCTGAATACATCAACACTACCATATTCAGTTTTTATTAAATAAAACATATATGTTATATCTACCGTTAAACACATTTAGTAAAATAACAAGTTATCAGTTACCTATTACTTCGTTCTTCGTCTGATCATTATATATTTCCTAACATATAAACTTACCTGCAGTATTTAGCCAATCAACTTTGAAAGTTGCCTATAAATCAGAGTTATCTGTCAACATATCCGCTAATTTAGTTACACCGATAATAAGATAGTAGTTGATAACTTTAAAAGCAAACTGAATCTCATCCTTCCTATGATTATTTTGCCCGTTGAACTGGCCGCCGTTACTAGGTTACCTGAATACATCAACACTACCAACCTCTTTTTTTAAAAAAAAAAAAAAAATATATGTTATATCTACCATCGAACATATTTAGTAAAATAACAAGTTATCAGTTACCTGTTACCTTTACAAGGTATGAACGGCGAAAGATTTTCTTACAATATCTCAATTGTATTTTTTTATATCTTATCCCCTGAACTGTATAAGCATTAAATGTTCTCTGCAGAATTTGTTTCATTCAGTTGTAGGGGTAAACTTGTCTACAACGAAATAATATTATTGTATTTCCTTCATTTATAAACTTTGCTTCCCATTTCCTTAATAAATTAATCATCCGTTGGTATTCAGCCACTTAACTCTTAATAATAAAAATAAGAAAATGCTTGTGTGTTCTGTTATGTTCTGTAACTGAATATTGGAATTTCATAATAGTACATATTTTAACTAATTTGATTAGGGGTAAAACGAGATATATACATAGAACACTTTTTTGGGTCAAGAGACATAGAACACTTTTTGAAACGAAAACAACAGAAAAAAGTGGTGCAGACGAAGAGAGTTGAGTGCATGACGTTTTGGTTATTGTTCGTAGTTTCATCAATGCTGGGATTTGGGCTGCTTACTCTTTGATCTACCAAGTGATCTTTACGTCCCTGAAAGTTTTTTTAAAATTTAAATGCATTGAAGTTTAATCAATAGATTGATTTGACTTGTATATGCTTTTGTGTTTGTGGTATATAGATAAGCAATGGTCTAGCAGCAATATTGTTGTACGCGATCTCAATTAATAGTGTATGATCTACAAACCTACGCCAAAGGGCACTACCAGATTGATATCATTTGTAACAATTTGTGTCTTTGATTATAGTTATAGATAAGCAAATGGTCTACCAACATTGTTGTGTACTTCGCAACTAATAGTCTGTCTATTTTTATTTTTTTTTAAATACTGATTGTCTATCCTTGAAAATCCCTAATGACATAGAAGAGTCTCCTTAGTGGAGTACTGTATATAGAGGGATACTATGCGCAACTCATCTGACTGTAAAATAAAATGCTAAAAATGTATATATCATTGTAAAGATTCTAATTTAGGAATATCGAATTCGCAGGTAAATTCAGATAAGCAATCAAAGACACAACGCGATTTGTTCACCCAGAGTTCACCGATATGGCTACGTCTCTGGGGAGGGAACGGGATCCCTCAACTGCTTCTACTATCGAATCGTTTACAAAGATGTGCTTGAAGGCGCTTGACAATCTTAACAGAGACTAGCTTAAAGAATAA